AGTTCCTCATCAACAGCACCAAGCGCTCCGACTCGGGGGTGTACCGCATCTTGCTCCAGAATGAGTTTGGAGAGGCACACTATGACATCCATGTACGAGTGGCAGGTATGCCAGTGGGCAGAGGCCTCAGGGAGCACCACTGCACACTCCCCCAAATATAGTTCCTACTGCTGCTTGAGTGCTACCACTATAAAGTCACGCCTTAAGGCAGTGAAGGCTTCTTTAGTGCTTCAAAGTAAAACTTCATCAGCCTTTGCCTTAATGGGGAGGGTAGTTTCAGCTTTTCCTCACTGTCCTGAAGCCCCAAGGGCATTGAACTAGGACCGAGCCCTCATTTCAGTTCCTGCAGTCTTATCTAGTGAGCTCCAGGACATGTTCAGAGTAGGTCCAATAAAACCAAGTAGAGAACGGGTGACAGGCAGGAGGGACAGAGGAAGATAGTCCATTAAAAATTGGGGCAACCTCTTACAAAGGGCTGGCAGCTTTAAATAAAGCCCTCAACCCCCAAGTGATGAAGGGATGGACTTCTACTGAACAGTGATTATATGCCAGGCACTTTACAACAATTCTCTGATAGTTACTGTTAGCCCTACTCTGCAAATGAAGGATTAAGTCTCAGAAAAATAAGTAATTTGCCAAGTTCACAGGGCTAGTAGATGACAGAGCTACACCCCGGAAACAAATCTTTCTGACTCCAAGCCACCAGCTACCTAAGACTCAAAAGCCTTGGCAGGTTGGGGGGGAGGGTGGGGGCACAGTCCTCAAGGCTCCCAAGGGTGGCTAAGGGACCCTCTGACCATTTCAGATTTCCCCCGGCCTCCCACAAACCTACAGCTGTTTGAGGAGGTTCCCAACACGGTGACTCTGACCTGGAACCACAGCCCCGACGTTCAGGAGGACGGGGAGGCCCACTACGTCATCCTGAAGCGGGATGCCAGCACCGCCACCTGGTTCACTGCAGCAGAACGCGTCTTCAGCAACAAGTACACGGTGACGGGGCTGCTTCCTGGCAGGAAGTACTACTTCCGAGTGTTGGCCCGGAACGAAATCGGTGACAGTGACCCGCTGGACTCCAAGGATACTTGGCATGTCAACAAGGACAAGAGTGAGTCAGGGTATTTGGGGGTTCAGGTTACATCTAAGATCTCTGATGCTGGAGGTGACAGAGGGGTCGGAAGGGGTACCCAGGACTTGAGGTAAAATCAGAGAACCATTGAGGGTGGAGGTGAATGTTGGGAAGATGAGCAGAGAAGTCAAGGTCAGGAAGCCTGGGGCAGAAGACACCTCTGAGGTATACTGAGGAGTGGGACTAAGGTGGAGGTGGGGAGGCGCCCTTGGGGACTGAGTGGCGGTGTTGGGCCAGAGGGAGGGGCATGGGTGTAATGCTGAGAGCGGTCCTCTCTGAGCCCAGGGGCTGACGGGGGTGAGGACCAGAGAGAGCAGGGAGCGGGCATGAACTCCAGCAACAGAGGGGAGGAGGGCTTAAGGGCAGGGATAGTGTCAGGAAATGTGAAATGCAGGGCTAAATAGGAGAGCGCTGACCCCCTTGGGGGCTGGGGTGACATCAAGGAAAGTTTGGAAGGGTGTTAAAAGCAAGATAACAGCTCTGGTCTGGAAAAGAAGTCTAGGACTCCAGGGCCTGGAAAAGCAGAAAACCCTGCAGACCTGGCTTGGGTTGTGTAGCCCTGAAGTGGCAAGGGGGTGGGAGGGTGGTAGAAGGGGAACTTTAGGAAGAAGTAAAAAGCCAGTCCCCAGAGTTGGTGGCATGTGAGACTCTAACCCAGGTCATGGGGTTTCCATGAGCCGGGTCTCAGGGGTGCCTTCGGCTCTCTGAGGTGGCAAGTGGTGGGTAGGGCCCTGGAGGTATTCACAGCCTCTGCATCCCACGCGCAGTCGAGGACCTGAGCGCCAAGCTGAAGCCATACCAGGAGAAGGACTGGGGCCACGCGCCGCGCTTCCTGACTCCGCTGAAGCCACACACGGTGCTGCGTGGCCAAGACTGCACCATGACCTGTGCCTTCCTTGGGAATCCGAGGCCCACGGTGACCCTCTACAAGGGCGATGTTAACATCACGGCCAACTCCAAGTTCTGGTACAACTCCACCAGTGGTGTCTGCACAATTGTCATCCCAACCTGTACGCTGAAGGACAGCGGCGAGTACAGCGTGTTGGTGGAGAACGAGCTGGGCAAGGACCGCAGCAGCTGCACGCTCACTGTCTATGGTGAGAGCACTGTGGACCCAGGCCGGGGGTGGGGGTGGGAGGCGGGTTGCTTCCCTGCTGAGGCAGAGGCACAAAATGGCAGGCAGTCTTGTGGGTTGTTGACCGTCTTCCTATGGCTGGCAACGTTTTTACTTAATCTGCCATCAGGTGGTGTAAACATTAGCCACAGTTGGTGCCCGTCTCCATCCTCAATGTCATTTGTTAGGTACCTGGCCGCTGCAGATGTGGGAGCTTAGAAACACTCCGCAGATCGGTTTGCAACCCCTGGTAGGCCTAGACTTGACTGGAAAAAGACACTGAACAGGCCTAAAACAGACTCACGAATCACATCTCTCTGGCAGGGTCATGGGAGGAATCTTGACATCACAAATGTTTGCAAGTGATTCAAGATCGAAAACCACTGGCGTAGTATAAGGACAGATGAGAGGCACAAATGGGGGAGGACTGAAGGGAACTAACTAGTGGAGACCCTCCCTCCACACACATGTGCCATGTTTTGCTCATGTGCACACATGTAGGGAAATATCTTATTCCTTCCTACACAGTCTACTGTCTTCACAGCTACACAGCTAGGAGCATGAACTCTCTGGCAAAGCTGACTGCCTGGTTCCCTCTGGCTAAACTCCCTCCTGGCTTTCCCACTATCCTCTTGATAAAACCCCAACCAACAGAGGCTCCTCCCTCACCTCAACTACGTCTCCAGCTTCATCCGCCACTCCCTGAACTCTCTGTGGCATTCCACCAGTGTCCATGGTCTCCATGGTTACAGACCTTTTTCATCCTGTTATAGATGCCTTTTCCTTGGGGAAAGGACCACAAGGAAGAGGCATCGAAGGAAAGGCATCCACAAGGAAAGTCAGCTAAGTGCCTTGCACACTGAGGTGACGCCTTCAGAGTGTGGCTGAACTGGGTGACAAAACTAGACCAGGGAAGGCACAGTGGAAGATACCTAGCTTTCACGCCACACCTGGAGAGACTTCTGACCACTCCATTCTGGCTGTAAGCCCATGGACCCAGGGCCTGGCTTCACCGCTGACCGGCCCTGTGACCTTGGCAAGCCGCTCTGAGCCTGCTTCCTCTACTTCCTAGGCTTACATGAGATAGCGCATGGAAGTGCCTGGCAAATACTAAGTGCTGAATAACTGGCAGCTCTTGGCCACACACATTCAGCTGGCCTTGGGAGGCTGGAGCTGGGGCCCACCCCAGAGAAGAATTGAGGGTCCCAGGCAGGGTCCAGTCCCTGGTTCCTGCACAGTAACTACAAGTCCAGCAATGTGGAGGTTCCCTTGCTCGTGACATCACTAAACTAACAAATACTTGCTTTGTTCTTTCAGACAAAGATGACAAGTCAATTTTAGCATCAGTCACCGAGAGTCTACAGAAGAAATCAAAGCACCTTATGTGAGCACCAGCCCAGTCCGGGCACCAGATTGTTGTGACGTGGGCCTCTTGGCCTGTCCTCTGCATGGCCCCAGTAAGGGAAGCCCAGCTTGCTCTCTGGTGCTTGTCAATGTAAACATTCAGCGAAGGGACGGGACAATAAACTGACCGAACTCACCCTTTCCCGTTCCTCAGGATGGTGTACAGCTGATGTACATCAGGGACCAAGGAGGTGGAAATGGAGGTGGAATGGGGATGCACTGAGGCTGCTGAGAGCCTGGTCCAAACCCACCCACGTAGGCAGTGACCAGCCACCCTTTTGACTGGGTCTTTGCCTCCCCCTCCTCTGTGGCTACATGGTACCCTCCCGTCCTCTCAGGGTTTAGGTGGGCAAGTCTTGCCTGATTCATCCTTTCCCCATCCCACTCCCTCACGTTTCTTCACACCAGGTAGGTCTGTCATCAGAGTTCTGGGGTTTAAAGGGATCAGGACCTCGCCTCTTTGGTGTCCAGGGTTCCCACTCTTTGAGAACAAGAGCATCCCAGAGCTAGAAAGAATTACTCATCCAGCTCTAAGTTTCAAACTTATGGGTTGGCAGTGGAATCCTTCCTTTAAAAAACTTTAGGAAGCTACAGGGCTTGAAACAAGGATAACGGGCTTTGAGCCTCCCTCCTCCACTTATATTTTTGCTGTCTCCTACCAGAGACTTCTGTAAAAACCTTTTGTTCGAAGTCACTGATTCATCCAACACCCACAAGGGACTTGAGTTGCCTTCTATCATACCCCCACAACTGTACAACCCCTCTACTGATGGCGTATTCAACACCGCCCAAGGCTTCCCTTTAGAATTCTGGGTCAGAGCATTGCCCATTAAGATGCAAATGTCCCTGGAGTGTGGGGGACACGTTATTCTGCCAGGGCTTCACATCAAAAGTATGAGTCACCCAGTCTAATTCCATTCCTCCCAGCTGTTCAACTGAGCCCGAGTCTAAGAAGAGAGACAATGGTTGAAGGGAATCTGGATCATTTCAGAGCAGGCAGCAGGTCTGGGGTGAGGCAGGGAGGAAGTGGGCAGCAGAAGGACACTGGGTAACTAAGGGTCACCAAAGGTGCTGGGCACCCATGCACAGGCAAGGGCATCAAGGACAAATTCAGATGGTGACAAATACCACCCATCCCCCATCCTCCTAAACTACATCCTCACCCACACACATGACCGGGGAAGTGAGACCCATTCCAAACAGCAGTGTTACCGGAGCCAGGGAGCCGGCCTGGCACCAGGATGCGTTGGCCAGTACTGTGACCCAGGCTGTGAGGACACCCAGGGCCCTTGGCTCTGTGCCCCTCCACCCTGCTCTCCAGGATGGGCATTTGCTACACAGACAGACAAGCAGGAGTCAATAGCCCTTGGTTTTTATTTTTATTTTTTCGTATGAACAGTAAAGGACAGAACTGTCCCATCTTTGCTCACCTTGCATTGAATGTGCCTCGGGTCTTAGGACCCTAGAGTGTCACTGGAGCCACCCCACCCTTGCTACCAGTGCAGGAGTGGCAGGGAGGTACGCAGTGGGGGAGGGGTTGGGCAGGGGGGTTCCCAGCTCTCTGAGCCAGGCTCAGCACCCCCTCAACAGCTCCCTGAGGCCTCTCCCTATAGGATTTTAACAGACAGCAGAACAGACACAGATGGCAGGGGGAGACGCGGGCTGGGAGACAGATTGCACACACACGGAACACACAGACTGGCCCCTTCCTTTGGTGTGGTTCACCCTAGCCCTGGGGGTGGGGTCTGAGGGTGACGATGTGGGGCCTGAGCTCTGGGCTGACCTTTGAGAGAGATGGGACCAACCTGAATCCTTGACACCTGGAGCTCCCAGGCCAAAGAAGTCCCCTCGTGCCTACCTGGACAGACACCTTTCCACCCATCATACAGAAACTGAGATTGTTCAAGTAATAAGAATAGATGAGGGAAAGGGAGACTCCACCCCTACCCGATTTTCCCAACTCGGGGCCTTCAAAGAGGGCTTCAAGCCCTGGCACAGATTTCTCCCTCCCCTTCAACTCTGCACGAATCAGAAAGAGTGGGAGGGAGGGAGCCAGACTCTTCCATCTAGTAGAAGGGGTGGGGAGGTCAAGAAGCTGAGCACCATCACAACCCCAGAAGGGTTTGACAGTCCCGATGGGGCAGCGTTGAGGAGATGTCTGCTTCTGGCCCCAGCAAGGAGCGTTTGTCCAGGTCCTTTTAGCTCTGAGCATTGTCCTGGACCACTAGCTTTGCTAGAGAGATCCTTTCCTGCTCACCCCCTCAAACTTGTACATTTTCCAGGCGGCACCTGCTGCCTCAGGCTGGAACTCCAGCCATCCTGAAGCACCTCTTGCAGGTTCCCAGGTTCTGGACCCCAGTCCCAGGAAAAGAGGGGGTGACCAGACCCTAGCCCTTCAGTTGGCCTTGCTCAGTCTGTAGTCTTCCACCGGCTCCCGGCTCTCGACAGCTGACAGGGCAATGAACATCTGGGCAGCATAGTAGGTGGACATGATGAGTGCCTGCGAGTAGGGCACGGGAAAGCAGAATTTGTCGACAGCGATGATCAGGTCTGAGATGATAAAGAGCACAGCGCCACTGCACGCCGCCAGCTCAGTCCAGCGCCAGGCTGCCTCGCCATACCGTAGCCCTGCCATAGCCCGCCAGCCCATGAAGCTGATAAGGGCCACGTAGGCCCCCACCAAGTAGGTGAAGGCACCTGAGAGGCCCGGGTAGAGGAATCCATAGAACAGGCCCGCCAGCACTGCCATCACCAGACCTGTCCGGAGAGCCAGTGGCCGAATGCCGAAGGCTGAGGCGTAGAGCATGTGGGCCACAGCAAACATCAGTAGACCTGGGAGTGAGAGAATGGGGCGGGTGTTGAGGGCAGGCTCAGGGGAGCAATGAGTAAGAGGGGCTGGGGATGGGAGTATTTGGGATAACCCAGGAGCTGTGTTTTGGGAAGAAGAAGGGTGGGAAGAAATCTACAAAGATTGCCCCCTCTCCACCCCAGCTCCCCTGAGGAACTCCAGACCTGATCGCCAGATCACCAGCAAAGTCATCCTCCAACAGGGGCCCCACAGTTGTTGGTCTCAGAGCCCCTTAGATTCCCAATATTCTTGTTCAAAAGCCCCCAAATCCCTGACCCTCTAGGACTCTCTAGCCCCCAACCCCAGGATTCCTCCCAGGTGGCTACTGCAGCAACTGACCGTGCACAAAGTAGCCCTGCTCCTGCCAGATGAGGAAGGCATCACCTAGGGCAGAGAAGACGAGCCCCACAAAGATGCGGACGGCACTGGGGCGGGCCAGCAGGAATCCTAGGCCATGGGCCAGAAGGAAGAGCCAGAGGCAGAAGATGGGCAGGCACTTGATGAGGGCGCTGAACCAAGATGGGCTGGACGAGGGCAGCCAGAGCACAAAATACACACAGGTGGCCTTGAAGAAGGGCACCAGCTTGGGTCCCTCACTCTTCACCTGGAGGACACAGGACAAGGGCAGCACTCAGAGCTTGGGAATTCAAAAGGCCATAGGAGAGCTCCAAGCCAGCATCTGGCCTGTCTTCAGCCCAGACACTCACCCCAGAGACAGGCCCACCTCCCAGATGGGGAGGACCGACACAAAGAAACCAGTTTGGCCTTTCCCAATCAACCAGCAGAATGTGAACAAGCCCATCACTACCCTGAGGCTCAGTTCATTAGGAAGAAGAAGGGCTCCACAATTCCGGCTGGCCATATCCATTCTTGGCCCTGGAGCAGGACCAGAATGGTCACTTACTAGGCAGAAAACAGTCCTTGGGATAATGTCCCCTCCTGCCCCCCTCCCTTTCCCTCCCCAAAGCCCCTTTAGCCCCTGTCTGCATCAGGGCCAGCATCAACCCTCAGCTGTCTGAATGGAGTGCAGTCACCAGGAAACCACAGAGACGCTACAACTGGCCAACTCATGATCTTCAGCAGTGGGGCCAGGGCACAGACTTAGGGCCCTGGCAACACCAGGTGAGTGCCAGGAATGCGTGAGGTGGTACACTGCCAACCACCTCAAGCCCCAAGGCTCTCTGTCAGCCAGTCTGCTCCTAAGCCTCCACTCGAGCTGCTCCAGGGTAAAGACAACCATCATGAGCAAAGACAGTGGACAGGGATACTGGCTAGGGAAATGGAGCTCGCAAGTTGGGAACAAGAAAACTGTCCCTGAAACACCAGCAATTTCAGGGATCTGAGGGTTGGTGGTGGGTGTCAGTCTCATTTCCCAGACAAGAGCAACTCAAGACACATCAGAGAGAGAGGCAGGAAGGGGTGGGGGTTCTCTTCCCAGCTTTTGATCTGAAGCCAGCAGAGAGGCTGGGAGGAGATGGGGAACTAAGAGAGGGAAGTTAGAGCAGCTGACTAGGTCTCAGCCAGATTAAGGGGGGGAGGGCAGCTAAAGAAAGGTTGTATCCAAGGTCACCAAAGGCTCTCTCCAGGCTGAGGGACTGGGCTGCTGCAGATATTCTGAACATATGATCCCCTGAAACTTCTTTCCTTGGGCTTCTGGTACAGAGTCTCTTAGCCTCATTCAGAAAAGCTGAGGTGCCCTGTATACCCACACTCTGCCCAAAGTGACTTCCAGTCTGCGTGAGCTGTCCAGCACAGGGCTCAGGGGACACACTCAGATTCCCAGACCACCAGTTACCTGGGGACTGATCAGTGATGAAGGAGGTAGGGAAAAGGAAGATGGGTGGGTCCAGGGGCTTAGCCTGCCTATGCTCTGCTGGGGTGAGAGCTGCCTATGCTCTCTGCTGGGTGGGAGAAGAGATGACTAAGTCTCTCCTCTGGAGATGCCCCCATCCAGGCTGGACAGAGCAGGTCAAAGGCACAGGAGGAGCCTGAGGGAGATGCACAGCCCGCACTGTCCCGAGGACTCCTCAGCATCCACCTGCCAGCCCTCAGAAGCATCAATGTCTGCTCCATACCCCTTCCCCAGCCCCATAGTTCCTGGAAGAAATAGGCAGTAGTAGCTGGGGACACTCTGACAGTCATAGAGAACCCAGCACTACAGGAAAGGGGGCGGGGGGGGGGAAGAGACAAAGGTTAGAGCTGAAAAGGTCGAAACAGGAAGAGGTGTCAATAGAGAATGATCCCACTTCCTCCAGCGTGTTATCAAGGATGCTGAGACTCCCGGGCGTCCCGTCCACCACCGCCCCAGACTTGTTTATAAAATGAGGAAGGGGAGGAAACAAATCTGGGACAGGATTCCCAGGAGGGCCCAGTCATCCTCCTACCCTCCCTCGCCCTCTCCCACGCCTCCACGCAGAACTCGGCAGCAGGATCCTGTACCCTTCCTGTCCTCTACAGTAAACCCCGCCAACCCGCGCCAGACACACACAGATCAACAAAGTCACGCTCCGGAGTCACGTGCCCACTGTGTCCCTCCCTGCCGCGGACCGGCGGGGGGCCCCTCGGAGGAACGGCGCCGTGGGTCTGCGGAGCCGGGAGGCCCTGACAGCGACCGCCTCCCGCCAAGGTACGCGGCCACTGCGGGAGCCCCTGCCCTTCCTCGGCCCCCAATGGCTTGGCCTGCCTCAGTGCAGTCCCCAGGACGGTGGGCTCCGGCAGAGCAGAACATTGGCTCGCTCGCTTGCTCGTTCACTCACCACGGTGACCGGGGACACCATGGCGGCGGCAGCGGCAGCGGCGGCTGGCACACTGCTCTGGGCTGCAGCAGCCAGGACGTGCCTGTGGCCAGGTGAGGAGACGACCAGATAACAAAGACCGGGGTGACGGACAGTACCTCCAGCGCGCCGGGCGCTGGGGGTTCTGTCTGCGATCCCCACAACGTCATCGCCGACCGGGCCAATGAGGTGGCTGGAGTGGGTGGGGGGCGGAGCCAGGCTGGAAACACTGGCCAGGCGCCAGGGTCTTGGGCTCCCAGGGGAAGGAAGGTGAAGGGGCCTCCAGGGAAAGAGATGGCAAGGTGTCTCAGAACAAAACGTAACCTCGGTTCCTGGGTGATGACCGAGGTCGGGTGAGACACAATCATTCTTGTCCTGTACTCACGGCTACACACATTTTCTCATAACCAGGCTATGAAAAGCAAAGACAGGTTCCCTTAAGCCTTTAAATATGCAGTCCACATGGGCACAGTTGAACCCACAACCTTTACTGTGTACAACCATACACCCAGGTAGACACACAATGGTCAGCAGCATGTGACTTTTAACATGAAAAGAGACACGTAAGTACGTACACAGCAGCCTGTAGACTCATAATCCTAAAATATACACAAGCACACACAGAATCACAATTACCCGTAGGCACCAAACAAGTACATAGACACAAAACCAACAACTGCAGGTGGACACACATCCTTCAACTTAAAGCAGAGACACATATAGGCCGCACACAGCTGTGACACGAGTATAATAAACACAAGAGCACACCAGGAATGGTGGGCGGACAGGCAGACCTGACCATACTTAAGGCCCCCAAGGAGTGGGAACTAACTTTGCCAAAAACACAATTTAAGCAGATTTTAATGTTGATATTGCACTGATTACAGGTACACAGGCACATTTGGAAGTGAGTGTGTTCAGAATCGTGGGAATTGCATGGGTGCACTGATAGGCAGTCACGTGGACTGGGGTCTAGTCTCAGTTTTGTCGCTTCACCTGTGGGATTGGGTGAATCACTTCACCACTCTTGCCTTGATTTCCTCATGTAAGTAGATGATTTATCTCTAAGGCTCCTTCCAAGCCCAACATGTGTGGGACAGTATAAAGATTCAGAAGAGGCCTCCCCAAAATGTGCCACTTTGGCATGTGAATTATTTTGAGCTGAAGACAATAAAGACCATGCACACTCATGAGAAACATTTGCCTCTCCTTTAAAAAATTTAAATTAGGGGCCTTGCCCACATTAGAGTTACTCCCAGAAATAACTTTTTATGACCTATCTATAGGGCAGGGCAATCTTTTAACTCCTAAACTTCTGCTCTTCTTATCATCCTTCAATGACTGCTTAAAGCTCCCAAGACACCTCACCTCCTCTTTAGTTCAGAGTGTCATATATACCTCACTTTAACTTTCTGTCCCTGGACCTCTCATGTATGTGGAGCCCTTGAGGCTCCTCCTCAAGCTAAAATAAAACTGTGTATCCAAAGGAAAAGGTGCAAATTAGGAAGATGTAGTTAGACAGATAGATGAACTTATGATGTCACTTAAGATATAATTTTGAGAGCAATTGTTCTTCTATTACAAATCTTTGCACAACCAGAATGCAATTCTAGAAGCAGTCCAAAGCCCACCTACATTTATGATCCCCAATTCAAAAAAAGAGAAACAAGATTTTGTTGGGATTTTTTGTGAGCACACGTGGGTTCTCTGACTCCAAGTCTCCCTTGACAAGGACAAATACAGATAAATCTTGTCTTCTCCACAAAAGCTAATAATAACACAAAGCGTTCACCATCAAAGTAGGTAAATGTAATTTATTCCATATGCCAGAAACACAGTTTGGATGCAACTTTTCCTGTCTTTTGCATTACCATACCCTTACGGTGGCAGTAGTTTTGAGATGAAGGCTAAGACTTCTCTGTGTCTGTCGGTCTGTTCATGCGTGTTGTGTGGTCTTTTCTACCTTGGGATGGTATTGTTAATTTATAAAAGAGCTTTATTTAATTGGAAAACAAATAAGAACTTACATAAGAATTCTCAAAAATATAATAGAAACTAACCCTATTTGGGTTTCAGAATCACATGACCTGTGAAAATATTCGATATTAAAGCTTGTTTGAGTTCAGCATTTCTTTAAAGTTATCAACACTAAGTAAAGAGTGTGGCAAAGTAGGTGTACAGTTGTGAGTGCGTGAAACAGTTCATTCTTGCATTATTTATTAATTATCGTATTATTTTTCACAAGAGCAACTATACACCTACTTTTGCCCCCTCTTCCCCTGTATTGTGTGTGTACTTAAATATGGTTTCCTAAAACTTTCTGGTGATTTGAAACCTCAGCATTTTGCTAAGTTAAATGATAAGTTCAGTTCATTGAATGGCTAACTCATTTCCAAATATGATAAAATAATGAAACATTAATTCCTGAATATAGGTTTATCTACTTTTTGCTTTTTTAAAAAAAAATATTTTATTATTCTTCAAGTACAGTTGTCTGCACTTACCCCTCACCTCTCCACCCCCACCCCAGCCATCCCCACCTCCCTCCCCTGATTCCACCCTACTTTTTGCTTCTTATTATAGAGAAACTAAAGACATTGGGTCTATTAGAAAATATGTCTTGTGCCACATTTCAAAAAAATTGTGCTGTGAAGAAAATATATTTTTAGAAATTATGAAATGTATTCATAAATTTATCAATCTAAAAGAATACTTGTGTAGCAGATAGTTCATAGTTACTTACACTTGTTCATTTTCACTAGAAGCTAAGGTTTTTAAAAGTTAAGAATTCTATGTGAAAGTACAAAATGCAATAGACTTCAGCAATTTAAACTGAGTGCCAAGAATAATACAGGAAAGGAAGATAGTTGAGAATGACTTTATAGGGTTCTAACCTTAAGATATGAAAAATGTAGAAAGGCCGTGATGGTTTTTTGGGTATCAGTTTCTTCAGCATCTAAATCTAACTTCTGAAGAAAAAGTTAGTTAGCATTAAGCACCTTTACCTTCATGGATAAGCTTTTAGCTTGCTCTTGCCAAGAGAACAGAGCTTGAGTTACAGAAGGAGTTATTAGCTTAAAGGATTCAGCCTTTTTGTAAATTGCCAAATATCAAAATAGATTTTGATATATAAATGAGTTATCTGAGATGACACTGCCATTATTTCTATAACAATTATACCTGAATTTTCTAGTCATCCTATGACTGTATCCCTAACTGTGTTTATTAAAAGCCAAGTAGCAGCCCTGGCTGGCGTAGCTCAGTGGATTGAGCGCAGGCTGTGAACCCAGTTAGGGCACATGCCTGGGTTGCAGGCCACGGCCCCCAGCAACCGCACATTGATGTTTCTCTTTCTGTCTCTTTCTCCCTTCCTTCCTTCTCTAAAAATAAATAAATAAAATCTTAAAAAAAAAAAAAAGCCAAGTAGCTGCCTCACGACAATTAAGTACGTTATTTAAGAAGGAAAAAAATATTAAGTTTTGAATTGAGTGTGTAAGCTCCTTGTTTCTATAGTGTTTCTTTTTCCACTTTTGTCAATGACTTTAACCTAAATTGTAAATGTTTGTAAAGGGTAATTGTCCTACATCAAACCTACATTAAATAACTCCATCCACTACAGAGGAGGAGGACATACAAGAGGTAGAGCCTGACACTAACTGCATGTCAGTAAGGACTGAAAAAATATCCCACACTGAGTTGGTTATTTTGAAATATGAAAAAAAATATTAAGCTAAAACAATTCTATTAACTGGATGATCCTAGGTTCTATCCATCCTATTTTTCAGGACAGATAGGTGTTTTGTTTTGTTTTGTTTTGTTTTGAATTTTTAAATTTTATTTTATGTACAACGAGCTAGCCATTCTGCAATAAGGTAGATGTCTTGAATGACCCATTCAAAGAAGTTTGCTTAGTCCAACTTAATGAAGCCTATATCCTTTGCGTGCTGACAGAAACACTGCACATATTCAGGCCATACTTCTGGATCAGACCGTGCCAATTGGAGCAGGCACAGCAAGAACAAGAACCCTGGCCGAATTTTCTTGGATGGCTCCAGTACAGCTGCTGGTGACCCATGTTGCTCTCTCTGCTGCACCAAGGCAAAAGGACAGATAGTTTTTGCTGTGAGGCAAATAGGTAAAAATTATACTGTACGGCAATTGCATTTAGGTTGTAAAGACACGAATCTTCAGAGAAGTCTATGCAATATATAATTTGTCCAGATTAGTTTTTATTTGGGGAGAGAAGTTCTGAAATATCACCAATGCAAGTTACTCATCAATTGAAAGTCCTCCAAAAATGGAATTATTGGGAAACCATGGCATGTGGGGTGAAAAAGAAAAGCTCCCTCAGTTTTTTGGAGGCAATAAGTTTAAAATAGTTAAACAACTTAGTTTACTTGGTGCCGTTAAGAATTCAACTTGTTGATTTTAACATTGCTGTTACATCTGAAATAAACTTCCATGATGCTCTAGTAGGAAAAAAAAAAAGTAAAGAATTCTAATATATATTAAAGCTACAAAAATCATTGCTAATAGGGAAAACAACTGCATACACCAGAAAAATAGGATATGTTTTGGCTTGGAGAAAAACCGGGTATGAGATATACAGAAGTGTTTTCATTAGGGAAATAATGTAATTTTGTCCAGATAATTTCTGAACTGGGTAAGAGAACAATAAACAAACTAAAAGAGACACAAAAAGCTGTAGAAAATTGATAAAAAAAAGAATCCCAAGAGAGGAACGTTTGTGTGTGATCAAGCTGGGTAAGACTGACTGAATCTACTAGAAGTCCAGAGCAGGCTTCCCCAGAATGTGCCGCTTCAGTGCGTAAACAATGTGGAGCTGAAGGCAATCCATGCCCCTCAGGCTCGTGAGAAAGTCTCTCTCTCTTCAAGAATTTAAATACGGGGACTTGCCCATAATAAGAGTTATCATCCAAAGTAAATTTTTCTGGCCTATCTATAAGGCAGAGCAAACTTTTAACTTCCAAATATCTCTTCTTATCATCCCACAATGAGCCTTCGAAGCCCCTAAGGCACCTTACCTTCATCCTTGGCCATATAGACCTCCTTTTAACTTTCTGTCCGAGAACCCCTCGTGTAGGAGGGT